CGTCTCTTGTCAGGCTTACCCACAGAAAGGCAGCGTTACCGGCACGCTGTGTGAAAGGACAGGGCTTTTCTTTTTTTAATAGGTTCACTTGCTCTTAAAACCGGACTGAAAGGACTGCACTGTACGGGAGCCTGAATCCAAATTAAGCACGTGCAGTAATTTGTGAATAACGCTGGACTTCGCAGACACTGGGTTTAAATTCTATGTAGATAGCCAACTTTTACGATCCTTCCAGAGCAGCAGGGGAGTTTATAAAGGCACAGACCATTATTTTTATGATAGATTAAGGTATTGGAAATAGGAACAGCACGCGTGATAAAACCAAACGACTGAATTCAAACAACAGTGATAAATACATGCTTGGTTTATGTTAATACAAGTCCTTGGTCCCTCAGCCTTTTCCCTTATAAACATCTCACTGGGCCACTGACCTACTTCCGAAGTTCCGTATTCGACAGTGAATAAATGCCTTTTCAGTTCAACTGTACTTCTTAAAACATGGACGCTCAGAGCACGGTCAGAGCAGAACGAAGCTAAGGCAGCTCTAACAAGCGCCCTGCAATTGCTCTCAACGCAGATCCCTAGAGAATACCCTTTAGCGGCTGCGGGTCTCATCGTGCCCCGCTCTGCCTTGGTGGGATTTAGATACAGAGTGGACAACTCTCAATGGACAGATACTTACATGCTGTAAATGCACCCACAACAACAACAGTAACAGTAATACTGATGTGCCCAGAGCCACCAGGCAGCCAGACACGAGCCAAGCACATTGTACATGGTGGTGAGAGGCACATATGCTTGGCAGTGTCGGCAGCGGAGCCCAAATAACGTTGGGGAAGAAATGCTTTCTCAGCCTCAGGTTTGGCATGAAGCGCAAGCAGGAAAGAAATGTGGAACAGTTACACGGCTTGTACCCTTCCTATGCCTCTTCTGCAGACCACTTTGGTCTCCCAGCATGGCACCCAACTATCCAGTAATATGCGTATTTTCTTAGTGGCAAAAATAGAAAACCGTGTTACGACTTCACACTTTTGTGCTCTAATTGACTGTCATCTGCTTTATTTTGTGCAGGATACGTAAGTTTTCAGGTTTCTGGCTAGCTGGTAACACAGCCCTTCAACTGGTGAGACTGAACACGAGCACTGTCATATCTTGAAAGCAATTATTAAAGTGGGCAAGTATTTCAGAAAATAAAAGTATACAGCAGCTTAGCACATCTACTACACCTCCGTGTGGGCACTTACGGCCTCATCTTTAAATAGTTGTGACCTTCACACACTGGAGTACCTTAAAGCCATGCCAAGTTTTTGTCACGAGTACAATTCATCAAATCCATGTAAAGGACACCTCGATTTTTAAAACAGGGTTCAGATGCTAGATGGACAAACAGATATAAGGGGAGGGATCAGGCTTTCTCACTCATCTCAGGGTTAGATAAGGCATGAATTTATGCAGTAGCTTTTGAAGTGCTTAGGATTTCTTTCCGTCTTTTGCTGCATTTAATTTTAAAATCTGGAATAATTTCAAACAGTGAAAAACCTTTGTTCTGGTGTCTGTACTTGTACTGACGCTCCACAAATGCACCCTTTTCACATTTCTGGCACAAGACTCAAATCTACTCTTTTTTGCTGTCCACAGGTCATGTGTAGGTCCGCTGACAAAATTATTTTTTTCTTAATCCACCACCTGAGGCATGCAATGTTTTAAACAATGAGACATCAGTGAAAATGTAGTAATTATAAAATCAGATCTCCGAAGTTTTATCAAAGAGTGAAGTGTGTATCCAAGTACCTCTTCCCCTTACAAGTGTGATTATCTCAAGGTAACATTTCCTTTGAAGATGATTATCAAAGTCCGTTTTTGTTCTTTTGTGGATGCAGAACATCTCTTTCCCTTAGGAGAAATGAGATTGCCAGCTCACGTCTTTTAATGGCGTTTAAACTGAAAAGCAGTAAGGTTACTATGAAATGATCCACCCCCTTTGCATATTAACCCTGGGGTGGCTCGGTTTCTATTTTCTGTTTAAAGTTCTGCTCAACCCCACTCCACGCCTCGCTCTCTTCCACCACCTCCCTATCTTGTAAGAGCAACACAGTATAACACTTCTTCCCCTGTCTGGCTGCTTTTAAACTTGGCCCACACTGGGCGCAAGCGCTTGAAGTGAGCTTTACAAAATTATTTTAAAGTGAGCTGGGGCAGTTGCCACAGCAACCCACCCTGAGAGAAATCGAGGCTATAGATTAATCTACCCCACAAGATTATTCAACAGCACTGTGTTTGTTCTTCATTCATTCAGAATATTCCCTCAATCCATATGCTTTTGTAATGAACAAAAGATGTAAACTCAGATAATTTCATAGATAATAGGATATATAATCCAAGAGCACAATTTAAATGCTGAAATGTACATGATTCTTTGCAAAATCATTTGCAAAAAAATATTTGCAAGGTAGGCACAGCGGACATAGGAACTTTAAATAAAATGGCATGCCATTACTAAAATGGTGTTATACACATTGAGCAATGATTACAGAAAGCCTTTGTCACAGGTGCACCTGCAAGTACATAACACAGCAGACCTTGCTCTCCAGGCTTTGCTTTTAACACTAAATCTGAAAACAATAAATAGTACTTTGTAATATTAAATGCAATAAATATTAAACACTCACCACATACACCCTCTTTATTGTCAAAATCATCCGCCTCCAATGCTTTACTTAATCTTCCCCATAGTAGTTACTTCACAGTTTACAATTCTTGTTCGGCACCTTAGATGTTTAAAAGCACAAAAGTAGCGTATTATTAAAATGCAAACCTATAGTACTTCCATATATTTAAAAAGATTTATGAAACGATTTCTATAAAAAGAATACGAGTCTTTCCTGATGTGCACTTAGGCCTAAAAGGAGTATCACTTGTAAGTAACTTCACGTTTTCAGAAGCTGTAATAAACTCCGTCTGAATCCTACCTTAGGGATGCTACACTAACAATAAAATTACAAAACTATTGATCTCGGACTGTACTCATCCTCCAATCGGTACTTAGAAAATTATTTGTGCTTTTACGTGCATTTTGGAAAACGCAGCCGCCTCATTGTTTAATAAATGCCAATTTAAAAGTCCAGGCCAAATGCTAAAACGTTGAAGCTTGGCATATTGGTTTCTTCGCTTTTAAGGACAGATGCATGTTGTGCCACCACCCAGGGACGCATCTCCTCGGGTCTGCCTCGAGGCAGGCAACACGGGGAGAACTTTTTTTAACCCAAACGCCCGTTTTTCCGTGCACCCGTGCCTGCGGCGAGGGGGGCCCCGCCGCG